AGAGAGAGTGTGTGTGTGTGTGTGTGTGGGTGTGTGTGTGTGTTTTCAGGGAGTCTGAAGTACAGCAGCCCGAATCCCAACTCTGACATTCGTTTGCTGAGAGACTTAGAGGAGTGTATTGCCCACCCTTTACTTCTGTTGACCGCTCTCTAAAATGGGGACAGTGAACACCCTGGCCTCACCAGGTGGTTGTGAGCCAGCAGCCCGAATCCCAACTCTGACATTCGTTTGCTGAGAGACTTAGAGGAGTGTATTGCCCACCCTTTACCTCTGTTGACCGCTCTCTAAAATGGGGACAGTGAACACCCTGGCCTCACCAGGTGGTTGTGAGACTTCAATGAACACACGCCTGGAAGTGAATAGCACGGCCCTGGCAGGTTGTTAGTGTCCTTACTTTGTGCAATAAAGGAAGGACGAAGCCCTCCAACACCGAAGCGGCCCCATTCGCGCTGGTCGCCGCGAATATCAGTTTCACGTGGGAACCCCGCCCGCCTAGGTTCTCCTCACAAATGCCCCTCCTAAACGCGCGCCCTTCTCGCCCCCGTGCTTCTACCCTTTCCACCGCGCTCCGGCTCGCGGCTTCGTCCCACCCCTGCTTCTACCCTTTCCACCGCGGGCCGGAGGCGCACAGCCCACCCAGCCCTGGGGGCGGAGAGTCCCTGTCCCTTCCACCATCGCCAAAGAAACCCCTTTGCCAGCCAACTAGGGTGGGTAGGGAGGGTGCGCTTGGAGGGAGGGAGAGAAGCAGCTCCTAAGGCAGGCGAGTGGCGGCCCCACCCCTGACACTAACTGATGCGCATTCTTCCCTTCCCCGGGATCACTCCGCCGCCTCCCTCACCCGGGCATGGCTGTCGCAGCAGCTGGACAACGGTGACATTGGTGAGGACGATGTCGCGTTTCGACATGGCCTCTTAAGGTATCACGGCCTAGCCGCCCCGGGACCGGCCGCGATGTTACTGAGGTGGGGCGCCAGGGCTAGTGGGTCTGGAGCTTCTTGTCGTGACGTCACACTGCCCGGTGACGTCACAGAGGAGGCGGTGCGAAGGCTGGAGACCCGCGGCCACAGCCGCCCCATCCCAGTGGAGGAGTTTGGCGACAGCACGCTGTGCACCACCGTTCCACCACCTACTGGTGTCTGGAATGGAATCCAACTTTTTACACTGGTTCTCAAAGCCCTTTTCTTTCGTCTCTCTCTCTCTCCTTTGGCTCTGGCTCCGTGCTGTTCCTTGACTTCTCTGGATAGTTACTGTTTCCTCATGTCTGGAAAGCCACACCCAGGCCTCCCTTGGCTGTCTCTGGTTTGCGTCAGGTGATACCCTTTAAAAGAAGCCCTTCTGAACTCCCCGTCTAGTTTCCTGCTTTCTCACTGTCTGCCGTCACTCCCAGCCCCTCAGTCTCTGCCCACCTTCTAGGAAGTCTTGTCTGATTTCCGCATCCTGAGTTGCATGTTGCAATGTGCAAAACTACTCTAGGGCTACACTCTCTCTGCTTTTATTTCCCTCATAGCATATGTCTCTCTAAAAAATCATCTTATTTGTATTTTTTGCCAATTGTTTCTGCCCGCTAGACTGTAAACTCTGGGAGGGCAGGGACCTTGTCTATCATTGTCACTTCTGTATCCCCATTGACTAGAAGAGTGTTTGGCGCTTAGAAAATGTTTGTTCGATAAATAATATCTAAATGAATAAATGAATGTCTCCTTGTCAGGTTTCTTCTGATCCACAGTCTTAAAGTAACCTCCAAGTCATATCCCTCTCATAGCACCCTGTTCTTTTCCTTGCAGCTTTTCATGTAGTTTGTCATGAAAACCCCATCTAGTTATTGGTTTACTTGTTTGATGTCTTCCCCACTGGGTTCTAAGCCCCCACAGGGCATGTATTCTTGTCTGTTTTGTTCACCACTGTGGCTCCAGCACCTAGAACAGTGCCTGGCACAAAGCGGACTTTCAATAAATGGAGAACAAATGGACAAATGGCTCCCTCCCCTAAAGCACTGGGAGTGGGGGCTTGCTTGCACATTAGTGACTCACTGGCAGGCACCTTTACCTGCACGGCTGGTTGACACGCAGCTGTGACCAAGATTTAGGAGGTGTGGGGGGTTGCAACAGGAAGGAGTCACCACCCCAGAGAGAGGAGTGGAAGGAAGAAGGGGCAGAATGACATAACCTCTTCCTTCCCCAAATCTCCACGGGAACTCGGTTTGCCAAGCACCTGCCATGGGATGGGGGGAGGGTGAGGCTCTCCTGCTTGGAAGGCTTGGGAGAGGTGGAACTGAAAGTCAATTGAGTGTACAAATGAGAAGATTTCAATGAACCAAGACCCAAAAACATGATAAATTAAACAAGGGGAACAAACTTTTAACATGTACAATCAAGGAGGAAAAATAACATAGCACAAACAAAAGCAGGATTGAAAAGGGGTCTATTTTGTGCAATTTTACAATAATAGATTTGAAAATCTACATGCAACTAAACTTTTTCTTAAAAAATATAAATAATCAAAACTGGTGCAAGAAGAAATGACAACCCTGACTAGGCCAATAACAAGGAAGAATCTATTTTGTGCAATTTTACAATAATGGATTTGAAAATCTACATGCAACTAAACTTTTTCTTAAAAAATGTAAATAATCAAAACTGGTGCAAGAAGAAATGACAACCCTGACTAGGCCAATAACAAGGAAGAAACAGAAAGACTTAAGATATATCCTCCCCAAAGCTGATTCAAATCCAGACAATTTATGGGCAAGATCTGCCAAAGCATTTGGGAACAAATATTTCCAGGAAGGAAGGAAGGAGGGAAGGAAGGAAGGAGGGGAGAAAGGAAAGAAGGAAGGACAATCATATGTTGAACTTTCAGAAGGAGAGAACAAATAAGGATATTAGAGATGGGGGGAGGGAGGAAGGGGAGTTGGGGAGTGATAGGTCGGGTAAGGGACATAAAGAAATGTTACGATTTGTAATAATGAATATGCTAATAAAAAGTATTTTCCTTTCTATATTAATTGTTGCAGATCCTTACCAGAGCTGGAAGCTCAGTTAGAATCTGGGTAGGGCGCTTGGTCTGAAACTCTTTGGATGGGCAAGCACACTGTGTGGACTTACACTGCATAGGTCTTTGGAATGCTTTTCGGGGAGGGCTGTGATGGCTCAGCTATGAAACTTCATTGATTCACTCGAGGAAAGCAGCACAACCATGTTTCCAAAACCAGCAGAGGATGGTCTAAGAAAGGACAACTATAGGCCAATCTTAGTTATGGAGACTGACACCCAAGTTCTGAATCAAATAGTCACAAATGGGAATGGAGAGATGAGGAAAGGGATTGAGGCTGGCAGAAGATGGAAGGATGGGGCACAGAGAGGGCAGAAAAGAAAAGGTGGAGTACGTTTCAAAAGGAGAACCCTGCCTCGCAATCTCAGGGTGGGCTGAGATTCTGAAGCTCATCACCCACCCTTTCCCACCCAACAGTCTCCTGGCATGGGAAACTCTATCATTTAGGACAAGGGCAGAAAAGCCACACCTGAGGTTGCCCAGGGATTTGGCTTTGTCCCTGGAGCATGAAACTGGGAAACAGATTTGATGAGCTCAAGCTTGTAGAGGTGGCACAATTAGTCACCCTCTACAGGCAGAGCCTAGAGAAGGCAGAAGCTCCTGGGTCTCTGGCCTGGTTCTGGGTGGGGTCAAGTGTCCAGGACCTGGGGTAGAACCCTGGGTCCTCTGAGGGGAGTGGGCCTTGACACCCTTGTTTGAGCAAAGTCTGAAAACACGTGCAGATTCTCACCACACCTGGTCACCCACACACATAACTCTGCCACCCCCACTCACTCACACCCTGTACATTCCTTCCTGCCTGCCTTCCCACCAGCAGTCCCACCTCCACTCCCACTCTCAATCTCTTCCCTTGTCACCAAAACCCAAATATCTTTCACCCCTGCACCCAACTGTACCCACCCACCGGCTTGAATCTTCTGGTCTCAGCCACCCTTCAAACTAGCTCCCAGATAGATATGCTGCTGCAGACCTACCAATGCCTGTCATTCTTATGCCCCTCTTCACATTTTAGGCCAGACTCTCAGCTATTTCTCCCTCCAGTCTGAGCCAGTATGTCAAACTTGGGGCTTCAGGTGGAACTTAGGAGGCCCCAGGGGGAGGGGAGCAGGAAGGATGAGCTTCTGGCCCCCAGCCGAGGTTTTGGATGACAGTCTCCTGCTGCCTCCGGTCTTTGGCCCCTCCCCGTGGCTGCCTCAACCGGCTTTTCAGGAGACACTGCGTCCTGTCCCAGCTCATAGCAATCAGCCCCCTGCCCTTGCCCAAGGGCTGGGAGGCAGGAAACCTGGGTTCTGTAATGAGAATGTGATCCTGGCTCCAAAATCGGCAGCCCTCCCCAAGGGACCCTATGCTGCTCTGGGGACCCAAGCACCCTTCCCTCCAGCACCCTATGAGAGTCAGGCTCAGGCTTGGACTCTCTTCCCCTGGCTTCTTCTAATCCACCAATTTGTTCAATCTGTAAATATTTACAGAGCCCCAGGCAATGTTCTAGAAGCTGAGGTAAACAGTGACCAACATAGACAAAGGCCCTGTTCTTTGGAAGTTTACGATCTGATAGATGAGACAGACAATAAAAAATAAAGGTAATTCGGGATCACAGTAAGTGCTATAAAAACAAAAGGATGCTATTACAGAGTATAACTGTAATACCATGTTATGGTTGGGGTGGTCAGGGAAGGGTTTTTTGAGAAGTTGGCATTTGAGCCAAGTACAGAGTGAGGATTCTGTCCTGCAAGTATAGAGTGGGTTCTGCATTCCAGGTAGAGAGAAGGGCAGGTGCAAAGGCCATGAGGCAGGAATGGGCTCGGTGTGTTTGAAGAATGGTGAGAAGGCCTGTGTGGCTGGAGCATAGTAAGCAAGGGGGGTGGTCCACAAGAACAAGGTTGAAGACCCCCTCAGCTCCCCTAGAGTTCTCCCCTCCTCCCAACTGTGCCTCCCATCTTTCTAGACTCTCACTGCAGAGGAAGCTGGATGCTTAGATTCCTGAGAGAAGTGAGGAGTGAGTCCCAGGGATGGAGGGTGATTGAAGGTGGGTTTAAGACAGAGGAGGCCTGGGTAGTGGGTAAGGAATGAGACAGGAGGTGGTTGGAAGGGCAGACACCCATCTCTGGGATGGAGGGCCTGAGCTGGGCAAGGAGCGAAGATGCCAGGGTTTTTCTCCATTTATGACTCACGTTCTCTTCCTCCTCCTCTTCATTGCTCAACCCCAAATCTCCCTGGGAAATACCTCCTTGACTAGGGACCAAGTCAGTGCCTCACAGGGGTAATTGAGTCATGGGGGGTGGAGAAGAGGGCGGGAGGGAGAGGATAAATAGCAGCCTTGCTTCCCTGGCTCCTCTCTGCATCCTCCCCACCTTCCCAACAATATGCATCTTGCCAGTTTGGTCAGCTCTTGCTCCCTCCTACTGCTGTTGGGGGCCCTGCCTGGATGGGCAGCCAGCGATGACCCCATTGAGAAGGTCATTGAAGGGATCAACCAAGGGCTGAGCAAAGCAGAGAGAGAGGTGGGCAAGGCCCTGGAAGGCATCAATAATGGAATCACTCAAGCTGGAAGGGAAGTGGAGAAAGTTTTTAATGGACTTAGCAGCATGGCCGGCAAGGAGTTGGACAAGGGCGTCCACGGGCTCAACAACGGCTTGGACAAGGTAGCCTATGGGATCAACAATGGTGCTGAACAAGCAGGAAAGGAAGCAGAGAAGTTTATCCATGGGGCCAACAACGCTGCTGGACAGGTTGGGAAGGAGGCAGACAAAGTGATCCATCATGGGGTCAACCAGGCAGGAAATGAAGCAGGAAGGTTTGGCCAGGGGATCCACCATGCCGCAGGGCAGGCTGGGAATGAGGCTGGGAGGTTTGGCCAGGGAGCCCATCATGGGGTCAATGAGGCCTGGAAGGAGGCAGAGAAGTTTGGTGGGGGGGTCCACCATGCTGCTGGTCAGGCTGGGAAAGAGGGAGACAAAGTGATTCAAGGGGTCCATCATGGGATTAATCAGGCTGGAAAGGAGGTAGACAAGTTTGGTCAGGCGGTCCACCATGCTGCTGGTCAGGCTGGGAAGGAGGTAGACAAGTTTGGCCAGGGCGTCCACCATGCTGCTGGTCAGGCTGGGAAAGAGGGAGACAAAGTGATTCAAGGGGTCCATCATGGGGTTAATCAGGCTGGAAAGGAGGTAGACAAGTTTGGTCAGGCGGTCCACCATGCTGCTGGTCAGGCTGGGAAGGAGGTAGACAAGTTTGGCCAGGCAGTCCACCATGCTGCTGGTCAGGCTGGGAAAGAGGTAGACAAGTTTGGTCAGGGGATCCACCATGCCTTGGGGCAGGCTGGGAATGAGGCTGGGAGGTTTGGCCAAGGGGCCCACCATGGGGTTAATGAGGCCTGGAAGGAGGCAGAGAAGTTTGGTCAGGGGGTCCACCATGCTGCTGGTCAGGCTGGGAAAGAAGGGGACACAGTAGTCCAAGGGGTCTATCATGGAGTTAACCAGGCTGGGAA